GATGGTGCCAACTTGGGCCAGTGAAGCAACGTCCTCCACAACTAGACTGAAGAACAAAATGACAGCAACTTGTCTGTTCCCCTTTCCCCAATTCCCCAATAAAAACCTTTAAAAATTTTTTTTTTCAATAATTCTAACTCCAAACAACAGCTTAATCTCCCACAAGTCTCCTTCACTTCCTCTTTTCTCCAACCAGAGAAAACTACTCAATTCTACCATACCTGGTAGAACAGGTCTCCCATCTGGGCATCCCAGCGTTCTCTTTACCATGTCCTGTTCTCTACTTTCTCTGTGTACAAGTGTCCCTCTTTCTTCAAGCCCCACGGCAAATGAAATCTAAGCAAGAAGCTTTCCTTGGTTCTTCTCAAGCCTTCCCAGAGTACAGAGTAACCTCTCCTTGCTTTGCCATTCCCTACTGAGGTACCACTTTGCCAACATTCCTGAGTGTTCTCTAGAATAAAAGCAATTTCTTATTCATCTGTAGATCACTCATAGCAATTCCTGTAGGCTGTAGAACATACACCATAAACGTTAAACTGATTTTATGTGTCAAGGAAAAGTTAAATTATGAAAAGAATAAGTTTTATCCTATTCAAATTCTTTTCACATTGATAATCCAACTCCTATTCTTAAAAGCCAAATCACTTGCTTAGTGTACTGAAGTACTTAGTATGCGTACAGCAATCTTTGAAAACTATAAAATGTACTTACCTTCTCGTTATTGTAATAAGAAATGCTAAAGCCGTCAAATTTCACCCATCTCTTCTGAAACATGCGTTTTCTGTAAAACATATGAAATTGTTATTTTACATTTAAGTACCGTGAACTTGGATTTTAAGTACATTTGTAATGCAACTGCATTCAGTACATTCCCACTTCCTGTTAAACAGAAAACAACTGGCTATGACAATGTACAGTTTTGGCAATGGTAGACAGGAAAATGATAATTTCTAAACAGCTGACATAGGTATTTAAAATAATGACACTGTTAACAGTGCTGTCATCCACATTTGTAAGGCTGAGTAGAAAACAAAGTGCAGCCAGACACTCTATCATTGTACCCATTTTCCTTAATAGAGATAATCTTTTAATGAAGATTATATAAACATTCATCCCTCATTAAGCTTTTAACATTTATCTTATTTTACTTTAATTTTTGCTTTGGAGCATGAATAATATTTTGCTAAAATAACAAAGCTTTGCAATTAGGTTAACACAGATAAATTATTTAATTCTGATCCAATAAGCTGGGGAAAAAAAAAAAACCCTGTCCAAATATAAAGAATCACTCACAATCTTTCAAAATGCACTGAAACATTAACAGTTTTTGAAAGAGAATCATATGAAAGGCAAATGCCATTTAAAATGGTTACTGACATGAGAAACAATGCAAAATAATGCAACCACATTGCAACCACGTTTCCTATTTACGCTTAAAAGACAAAAAAAAAAAATCAAACCACTTTTTTTCTGGCTATATAAGGGAAAAGTAAAGAACCATTTTTACTTGGATTTTTTTTACTTAGATTTTTTTTTTTTTTTTTTGCTTATTCTGTTTTGTTTTAGTCCCTTCACTGAAGACAGACAATCCNCTCACTGCAGCTGCTGGCCGCTCACGCTGGCTGCTGGCTACATACGGTAGCCCATGGCAGCCCACTGCCACAGGGGCTGCAGCCTACGCCGTCGCCGTCGCCGTCGCCGTCGCTCCACAGCAGCCCAGCTTCAGGTCAAGCTGTTGTTCAGCATCTTAGCTGTGGAGGGCAGTGTCACTGGCCCTCATATGTGGGATCCGATCCGGGGCCCTCTGGCGTCCCAAGTGAGTTCTTAACCATCGCGCTACTCGGCCGGCCCTGGAGCATGTATATCTTTACGGATCAATGTTTTCAGATTTTTGGGGTAGATACTCAGGAGAGGGATTGCTGGGTCATATGGTAATTCTATTCTTAATTGTTTGAGGAACCTCCACACTGCCTTCCATAGCGGGTGCACCAATCTGCATTCCCACCAACAGTGTATGAGGGTTTCTTTTTCTCCACAGCCTCTCCAACACTTATTAGTATTTGTCTTATTGATGACAGCCATTCTAACTGGTGTGAGGTGGTATCTCACTGTGGTTTTTATTTGCATTTCTCTGATGATTAGTGATGTTGAACATTTTTTCATATAGAAAGATGACTGGATAAAGAAAATGTGGTATATATACAATGAAATACTACTCTGCCAGAAGAAAAGATGAAATAGTACCATTTGCAACAACATGGATGGATGTTGAGATTATTATGCTAAGTGAAATGTCAGGCAGAAAAAGTTGAGAACCATATGATATCACTGATATGTGGGATATAAAACTGAAAACAACAACAACAAAAAAACAAATGAAGAAACAAAATCTCATAGACACAGACAATAGTTTAGTGGTTACCAGAGGGGAATGGGGGAGGGGTTGGTAGATGAGGGTAAAGGGATCAAATATATGGTGATGGAAGGAGAACTGACTCTGGGTGGTGAACACACAATGTGAGATATATATATATATATATATAGATAGATAGATAGATAGATAGATAGATAGATGCATTACAGAATTGTACACCTGAAACGTATGTAAATTTACTAACAATTGTCACCCCAATTAAGTTTAATTAAAAAATTAAAATAAGGAAGTTCATCCCGCTGTCTTGCAAACCTCGGTGAAGTGTGTTTAATCCTATTTGATGCTTTATCTGGATCATTGCAAATTGAAACCAAACAATTAACACTTCTCTAAACTTTCTACAATCCTTAGTGTTGTAACCTGCAAAGTGTTACTTTCTGTCTAAAAGCATATACTCTTCTGTCCTGCAGCCCTGAAGAAGCAATATATGAAAAGAAGTCTATATCTCTACTCAGGCCCCAAATACCACCCATCTCTAAACAATGGAAAAATAATATTAGAATTATAAACCATAAATAAGAGAATGTGGTTGTGTTAAATGAGTAAGTTAAAAGAATGTATACAGTTAAGACTACAAAAGTATTTGATTTTAATTAACTAAAAAATATTGTATATGTATTAGTTCCAACTTTTATTAAGGGAATTTTGCAACACTGAGAAATTGAAAGATGAGTACAATGAACACTTACCCTCAGTTTCTGCTTAATCTAACTATATATGTGTGCAAATATACAGATACATATATTTGTAAATATAAATATATACAGAGAGAGGTAACATTTTAGAAACATTTGTAGAGGGCTGGCTAAGTGACTCAGTTGGTTAAGAATGCGAGCTGTGAGCAACTGGGTCACCAGTTCGATTCCCACATGGGCCAGTGAGCTGTGCCCGAGTTGAGCTACCACTGAGCTGCCAACAGGTGGCAGGATGGCTGAGCTGGTAAGAGCACGTGCTCCTAACAGCAAGGTTGCCAGTTCGACTCCTGCATGGGATGGTGGGCTACGCCCACCGGCAACTAAGATTGAACATGGCACCTTGAGCTGAGCTGCCCTGAGGTGCCAACGGGTGACCGGACGGCTCAGTGGTTAGAGCAGGCACTCTTAGCAACAAGGTTTCTGGCTCCACTCCCACATGGGATGGTGGGCTACACCCGCCCGCAACTAAGATTGAACACAGCACCTTGAGCTGAGCAGCCATGAGCTGCCAACGGGCGGCTGGATGGCGACTGGACTTGGAGATGACCTAGCTGTGCCCTGCACAACTAAGATTGAAGGACAACTTGGCCATTCCCCTCCCCCAATTCCACAAAATCTTAAAAAAAATAAAAATTAAAACACTTATAGATAGGACACTTCACTCATGCCCTAACAATAAAGACATTAACATACCTAATGAGGACATAATCAAAACAGTGTCACATCATGAAGACTCAATTGCCAAAAAAATATAACCACTTTCACATAACAGTCAAGATTTTCAAGGGCCGGCCAAGTGGCGCATTGGTTAAGAGCTGGCTTGGGATGCAGAGGGCCCCGGTTCAGATCCCACATATGAGGGCCAGTGACACTGCCCTCTACAGCTAAGATGCTGAACAACAGCTCAACCTGGAGCTGGCGACGGCGTAGGCTGCAGCCCCTGTGGCAGTGGGTTGCCATGGGCTACCGTGTGTAGCCAGCAGCCAGCGTGAGCGGCCAGCAGCTGCCAGTGAGCGGCCGTCCAGAAGCTGGCGACTGATCTGCCTCGCCCGGGAAGAGCGCAATGATGGTGCCAACTTGGGCCAGTGAAGCAACGTCCTCCAC